ATTAGTCATGTTTTTTCCATTTGAAAGGGTTAAAGAATCTGTCTAATGTCGATTGCTTTTCTCTCTTCTTCAGGATTTTTCGTAAGTAATTAAAAGGATTGCAATTGTAGAAATCCCCAAGCCTCAACCTGGTTTGGATGCCATTCTAAGATCGTTGTTCTGACATCTTCCCACTTCTTCAAAAGATCTTTAATAGCAAATATCGGCATTAATCCTCTAAAAAAAAAAAAAAAAAACATATTTTTAAAGATAGTTGTGGGCTGAAAATGTGTAATCACAGTGTTCAAGATCATGTGACAAAAGTATCAGGGAAGACACGAGGTAATTTATTGAGAGCATATGATTGGATAAAATTCGAATATGACGTGATCCTGACAGCCAAGGTACTGTATTATTGCGGGGAGACGAAGTCTTTCAGTAAACTAAACACAATCTTAGGTATCATTCGTAATGACGGACAATTCACGATTTACAGAAGACGGCGCCCATAATTTCAGCTATGAGCAGGTCTATATTTCAGATTTGCTTCACATCAGTCTTTTATGCTGCACGGTGCCAAAACACGTTAGGCACACTTCGAGTATGTGTGACGGCGCTTAGCAAAATAAATACTGTCCAAATATATCTAACAATTTTAGATAGAATCAACGAAATCATTTTCAAAATCCTATTTTTAGATATTTATCATTCATTACTTTTGAAGATTTATTCGAACGAAATGACAACGTTAGTGATTTTCTATGCAATGCGTCGCATATAATAATTTATTTTAATTAAAATTATTAATCTGAAAAACAAAGATGAAAAAATACAGTATTGTTAATCCGGATCGCATCGCATCTATTATTATTTAATGTAAAAACAGAAAATTGTATATTGTTTTTCACACAGGTTACCGTAGAATTCCAATAAGAGTAATAAGTAATATTTTTGGAGATATATGTCCACATTATTATTAATTTTTTTAACTTTCTCCGCCGTAGGCCCCTCTCTTAGTGCCTAAGAGGGCCTCTTTTGCAAGAACATTATAGGTTAGGCCAGACCCAGAATAAAACACCAGGAGGTCGTTCGGATATAATGGACAAAGTCCATTATATCCGAACGACCGGGTTGGTTCAGGTATAATAGACTTTGTCCATTATATCCGAACCAACCCGAAAAATTCTTGGGATTTTTCGACTTGTTGTCTGTATTTGATTCGGGTCCTCCACATTGGTAGACTGCCATCTTAGTCACTCGGCCATCCACATCCACACATCAAAACTGCTGTCCATAGGAAATGACCTTGATTTTCGAAGATGGGCTGAAAATCCCTAAAGTAAGATTATGTAAAATATTTCTTTCGATTTTGAAAAAAAAAGACAGACAACTGTAGTGTTTTAATATCATTGTGGGGGACGTTGAAGAAATATATTGTTATATACTTTATTAAATTTATTTTTCTATATTGTCAAGAAAAGTGAAGAAACATATTTAATCACTCACTTTTATAGCCATTTAAAAGATGTTTATGGACGAATAAACCGAAATGTCCTTCGAATCTAACGCTCACCCGAGTTCAATAATTACTCAGAAGACGATTAATTCTCATATTTTATTTAAATGCATTTCGGATCGGAATTCTCGCCAATCCCTTTTCAGTCTATGAACAATACAGTTGTTTTGTAATTTTACAGTTAAAATTTTTTAACGAAGATATAAAAAATATTAAAATGACTTACAAAGGTATACAATCCGCGACAGAGCCTACACCAAATTTAGGACTCTTCGAAATTAATCATAGTAACAATCAAACTTATTCTTTATATAACCTCATTCCAAACATAATTTATTAACATCTCGCTTTTTAAATTAATTTATCATTTTTAATCGCTATATGTTCTTTAAACTTCGGTACATAATAAAATTTTGCTTCTAGAAAATAATGTATATTTTTATTAATTGTAATGTAATGCCTCATTTTCTTTTATGTGTTTTTCCAATAATCTTCCAGTTTCTCCAATATAATGGATTTTATCTTCACATATACACAACATTTTGTATACAACACCGGATTTTTATAATTTATTTTGTTTAGTAAATATATATATCTTTTGTAAGTTTTACTTTATATCTGTTGTTTCTGTACTCTCTTGTCCATTTTTCTATTGTTCTATTAGGATAGCCATTTAGTAAAAACATTTTTAACTTTGCTTCTTGTAGTTTATTCCTGGATGCAGGGTGTTACTGTGATTGATTTCGAAGAGTCCGAAATATCGGTGTAGGCTCTGTAGCGTATTGTACCTTTATGAAAAATATTAAAATGACTTACATCTTTGTTTAAAAATTTTAACTGTAAAATTAAAAACAATTTTATTGTTTATAGATCGAAGAGAGATTGGCGAAAATTCCGATCTGAAATGCATTTAAATAAAATTTGAGAATTAATCGTCTTCTGAGTAATTCTTGAACTCGGGTGAGCGTTGGGTTCGAAGAACAATTCGGTTTTCGTCCAAAAACACCTTTTAAATGGTTATAAAAGTGACTGATTATGTCCGGCAAATATTGCTAATTTTAGCTTCGTATTAAATATATTTAAATATAAATTTGGTTAACTGGGATAACATTCTATATAAATTTTGCAAAAATTTTATATTAACTAACTAGCTGGATATTTTAATTAATTAATAAATGCACAAAGCTCCGTTTTTATTGATAAACTAATCGTTTTGATTTTAAAATAAGCAAAATATATCATATTCATAATTTTATATTGTACAGTTCATCTTGGATTTTAATGTGATAGGTATTTTTAACAGATAAATATCACTGTTCTGTACTATAATTCTTTCTTTCAGAGACGACTTGACAAAAAAATTAATAATAACGAGCAATTATTTATTGTGACATCGTCACAATGCCGGGCTGCAATTTTCAATCATATTTTTTTTATTTATTTAATTTAAAATATACACTCTCCACCTCAAATTAGTCTTGCCCCTGTACATCATACTTTTCTGCAAGCAAGAGAGTCGTGCCGATCATCTAAGTAACTACAATATTTTCAGGGAAATTTTTGAATTGAAATAACGTAACTAATTAATCGGGGCATCCTGCACCTAAGCTTTACATATCGTTCTCGAGATGAGGAAGGAGACAGACGGTGGGAATTTATAGATCTACAATTTTTTCAAATTGCAACCCAATGATATAAAAGTTTATCATCATCTAAATGAACTCAATAAATCTTTTATATACTGTGGATACTTAATTTAAATCTAAAATAACCTTAAAAAACCATGAGGTTTATAAAATTTAAATTTCTAATGTAATGAAAGTTGCATGAACTTTATATTCATCTACAAAAAATCATTAATAAAATATTAATACAACCAAAAACAAAACTCTGCAGCTTTATTTAGAATTATTAAGAGCATACATACATATATTGTACATTACATACAAATGTCTCATGTTAATTTGTGAATTTTTTCCAGTTCAGGGTATTTAAAATATATTTTAAATTAAATATTTATTCTGTATAATTTAATACTTAAAATTCAGATTACTTTTGGTTTAAGCACTATGAAACCAAATACACATAAAGCTGACAGAATGTGATGTTTGAACAAATATTATTTTCATATTTTTTTTTAAATACAGCAATAAAATTTCTGATTAACATACTTAATAGACTTAATTTGTCAGTTTCATTTTCTATTTTACTTGTCCTTATTACAAAATACATACAGTATATTGTATTTATTCCAAGGGATTATCCATAAATATTTTAAGGTCATAGATTGTATGATTGTAACTACAGCATGCATTTTTAATAAAATAAATCAATATTATTCATTTATTAACTTCTCAATTCTCTTCTCTGATTTCTAAATTTTCAAATTTCTTTCATTATAAATAATTAATTAATAGATAATAAACAAATATGTAAAAGACATTAATGTAGCTAATTCAATATTTTTGTCAATTAATAAAATTTAAATTTCTATGCAATTTCATGAAGAACTTGAAGATTACAAAATTTTTTATAGATTTATTAATGAAATAAATATTCCTTTATTTATCATAAAATATCTTTAAAAAAATATTAATCATAAATCATATCAATAAAGTTTTATGCCAAAAAATAATAAAATTTGAAAATTAATGTTATAAACTAACTGTAATGTTATAATTCAATAATTGTAAAAAATGATTATAATACAGTAATGGATATTATTATCAATACAACTGATATCTGACTGATTTATAAAGAAATGAAGATCAAAGTTCATCTTATAAATGCTTTATGCAATTTCAAATTCTAAGATATGATTAAATTCCTGATAAAGTTGTTTCTGATCATGTATCATCTAAATACTATAAAAATGTTTATTAACTAGTTTGCATATTTTTGAATCAGAATCCAAGTAAATCTGTTTTGTACTATTTTGCATTTCTGAAGCAGAGATCACAGGAAGTCATACTAATTATATTGTTCATACCTGTGAAAACTTGGCCTTGTCATCATTACATGATATAAGTTTTCATTACATATAAAACATTGTGTAAAATGATCAAAAATTGTAAAGTATAGTTATCACATAAAGTAAATGTTTAAAATATATTATTCATTTTCAGTTGACATTCAAATATATAACCTATATTCAAAACTGAGACATTGCAATAAGAATTCAAGATCTGCTTATGATACAATCAGTTGGTATAAGTTATCCATGTGTCTACAACTTTACAAATAACAAACTACTGTATTAATAATAATGTTTCTTATTCATTTTGTTACATTTAATTTTCTAAAAACCATGATGCTATTAATAGTAATAGAGTTTAAGATGAATTTTTAAAACAAGTAAAACAGAGAAGCCATTTTTGGGATGAGACTATGTCTCAGAGAGCGCAAGCAATGCATGCACAAATCTTGCACTCGCACTGTTTGTAGAAACAGTCTCAGCATTTCGTATTTTTTTTTTTTACCTGGTTCTCAAGTTCCCTGACTACCTACAAGTTTGGTTTATTTTGGGCACCAAATACTCTGTGCTAAATTGCAACTCCTGACATGTACTCCTTCATACCTCTAAGGTATGCAGCCATTGATAGCAGTGCAATTTTAGAGATGAGATATAGTCTCGTCAATAACTTCATTGTAACCAAGTTAAGTAATATTCTTAATAAATTATATTACCCTACCCATTATTTTACATTTTTATATTATCCTATTATTAATATACAGACAGTATCTAACTATTTTCAGGCTTTGGAATTGAATCACTGGTCATTATGGACAAAATTACAATTGAAAAATTCTTCCTACCTTTTCAACAATCTGAATTATCTACATTGTGACAACTTTTTCCATATGATAAATATCCTGATGACAATGTTAACTGTCATACTGTTCTTTTTGTAATGGGCTAATTTGAGAATAGGAGCATGTAAAAGTCTAATTGACACATTCAGAACTTATATCTCAATTGCATTTAGAATCTTTGGAATAAACTAGATTCTTTTGGAAGTATTTATTGTTACATATTAAAGAAAAAACTGATACATATATAGACGTCAAAACCCAATATTTTATAATGAAATAGGCTGTGGGTGCTGAACTTGTCTCAATTCAGTGCCATAAGTAACCAAGGAGGGTTTTATCTAAATTAAATACGTCTGGAAGTGAGGGATCAGACAGAGGTCCAGGTAGTGTAACTGGCAATGCATCTGCACAGTAAGCAGTAGTTTCAGGTTCAAGTCCCACTCTAGGATAATTCTTTTCTTCCAGAATATTCTAAATTATTTAATAAATATTAATTTAATTATAATTATAAATTTAATAAGAGATGGTGCCTAACACCTACCAAATTACTTGATATTTAATTATTAATGGTAGCAGTAAAGCTCTTAATCATTTGGTTTCTTTAGAAAAAGCTGATTTGTCACTGCTTAAAATGATAAACATAGCAAAATTTTAAAATGTAAACAAAAAATTGATAATGAATATTCTTGAATACTAGAGGCTATAAATCAGCCTAAAAGTTTTAGAATTTTTTACTAATTTTACAATAGATGAAAATTGTTTATACCACGTATACAAATAACTCAATATTAATAGTGAGATAATGAATATCAAAGTTTAAAAACATTAAACATTTTTTAAATTTTATATAAATTCAGTGAAATTGAAATAGCAACACAAAGAAGGGAAACTGCAATTTGCCTGAAAGTTATGGACAAGATTGGGAAGTAGATAAATAAGATATAATAAAATTTCCAGAGCAAAAAAACAAAAAAAAAACTTATTTATTTACAAAAAAGACTTACATAGCTCTATTAGTATACATTTTAGCAATTCACAACCTATGGCATTAAGTCAGAGATTTCATAAAGTGTCTTGGGTTATTGCTTGTCATGCTTTCTCAACTTGTTGGCAAAGATAAATCTAACCATCACCTTGTATGTGTCACAATTTCAATTTCACTGAGTGTATTTAAACAAAGAATTTATGAACTATTTTATTAATTTAACCAAATAGAAGTAAAATATTGTTATTAAATGAAAGCAATAAAATATCCAAGTAAAGACAATAAAATTAGAAAAATATGTAAATAAAATGTCTGTTTATTATAGAATAAGTTTATATATATTTATATATATTACATATATGTAAAAAAGTATAAGCTTATCACAATTTACATACAATTAAAATCATATTCTAATATTAATAACACATAAGTACATTTTAAAATAATAGAAACATATATATGCTTTTCAGACAAAAATATCAAAGGAATGTTTATATAAAGATTAAAATACATTTATAAATTAATATTTTAAATATATATTTAATAATTTTGGAAGTATTTATTGTTACATATTAAAGAAAAAACTGATACATATATNAAAAAAAAATGATTTTCATATTATGAAATTTATTTAGAAATGAAAAGTATATAATAATTATTATTTAATAAATTAACACATTTATTTATTAATTCCTTTTTAAATTTCACTATCTACAAATAATCTCATTGTATGTAATATTTTTTATTTTCTATAATACAAATTATAAAATCTATTTTAATAAATTGATTTTTGCATTATTTTTTTTTATTGTTGTTAATTCAATACTACAAAATATAATTTATAAGACAAAATACTAGTACAAGGTTTGGCAATTTCATTCTAGTACTGTGTACAAGTGGTTTTAAAACATATAGGAAAAAGCTTCAATATGTTCATGACTGTTGACCAATCTGTTCTTCTCTATAAGCTTATTCGTGTTTTATTTATTGTTTGCATGCAGTCACATCAGAAATTTGATATAATGCAAATTGTTTTTATGTTTGTAGAGATGGAACAAACAGTAAAAACATTAAATTTTTTTGAAATTTTGGTAAAAGAGCAATTAGAATATATGAATTGATAAAACATACATGGCTGTCATTTTCATGTTTTTGAATGGTTAGTGAGATTTTTAGCCAAAATGATCTTCAAGATGACAAAAGCTTCAGATGACCAAACAAACTATAAATCTAGGTATGATCATGATAGTTAGATTGGTTACTGCACTCTCACAAAAACATAAAAGAAGTGAAGGATAGAGATAATTCTAGTTTCAGATGGCACTTATGTTCCAATCCCAGTTGAAGATATGAAAATGCTCAGAAAAATTGTTTTATATCTTAGTTTTTGATGTTGTAAGAATCAAACAAGTGTTTAAATGAAGTGTTTAATGTAAGAAATGTTATTAGGTTTAATGCTCATGATTTTTTGTGATTTCAGTATGTTTTGCATATTCTGTAGTAAATTTTGTTAACTTGAAAGACAAATAACATAATTTCTTATGGGAGACATATTTAAATTACCCACAAAGAAATTATTTTCAAGATGCATAAAGTTAGAATTAAGAAAAAAGTAACATAAACTGTAAACTTTATTGCCGGTGAAAAAATTTTTTGTTTTACTTTCAGATTATTTTTGAATTGATGCATCTTGTAAAAAATTAACTAACTTGTACAAAAAATGAATAGTTTTAGCAGTAAGAAGCACTTTATTGTCTTTGAGACTGCAGCTCACCTTGAACAAATGAAGCTTGTCATCAGACAAAACAGCATTAATAATTTCAAAACGTGTGTGACATCATGAGAATTAGAATTTCAGTAATGCAAGACTCAATAAACTCTAGTAGTTTAACCATTTGTTGAGTGGAAGACTTTTTGTAATATTTAGTAAAATTATGAAAAATTATAGGAATAGCATCTTCAATCAATTCTCACTTTCCTCTTTCTATTTTAACTTTTTTCATTAATTATATGTTTGTATGTTTTTAATACAAAAGGTCTATCAAAATGAACATCCCAAATATGTCAACAACAATGTCAATGATTTATCATGTTGTTTAGCAACAGTTTGCTCACCTGATCACATGATTTTCTTTTACTTTAAACAACTGTTTTTTGTTTTGCATGATTTATATACCAAATTGCAATTTAAGATGTAACAGGTTGTTATATAGTAGAAGCACTAACTAAAGTTATGCACTGTAAGTTGTGCAAGCAAGGTATTGTTACTACTAAACTTCAGTAACATAAAATAAAATAACTTATGCACTTTTAACCATAACAAGTTTTAATGATTTAAACATTTTTGATTTATTCTTATTAATTACAAAAAATTTCTTAACAAAGTAAAATTTCAAGTTTCCTTCTAGCAATTTGAATACTCTACTTTAGAAAAAATTTGCAATAATAGATGCACAAGATCAACAAAGAATGGAACAGTGGTGCCCTCAATCAGGAGTAGACTTCCCTCATCACTGAAAGCTTGAGAGTGCAGTGACCAATTTACGTAATGACTCTGGTAAAGTAAAGAACATTTATTAATTAACTCCTTAAGCCCCGAGCAATTTTTGATATTAATGTAATTAAACATAAAAAATACTTAAACTGAAAAAAACGAAAGAAATGCGTTAATTTTGAAGAAAAATCTTCAAATTTTATTTTCCTTTGTCTCGCCTTTCTGTGAAATTTGACACCGATGAGCCATTGTTTACACAGCTGGATGACCTTGAGAACAGCTGGAGTCAGATTTCCCGGGACATTCTCATAGAAGTCTAGGGAGGCGATGGGTTTATAGTAGGGTGAGTACTAGTTGGCCGTATATTTTAAAATATTTTTTAAAAATTAAAATTTTTTTTAATTAAATTAATTAATTAATAAGCCCAAACCCTTGCATCTACACATAAAATTATTCAGGTTTTTTTTTATTTACCGGTGGGATGTTATGATATGATCATAGCATATTTCAGCAATATTATTTGCGTGGATAAGCCCTGGTATGAACAATTATTGATCAAAAGGAGAAAGCACATTTCTGAAACATTTTCAAGAAAATCAAAGTTAAAATATTTCAAGTGACTTATGAATAAATTTTACAGAACATATCATTGACGACTGCTTAGTTTAGTAGGAGCATGCCTTTTTCATATTTGTGAGATCTCTGATAATCTTGATGAGCCATCTTTTTCTTCAAATCAATGCAATTTTTACATAAAATGGTTGTCAACAGACTCTGAGATGCAAAAAATATTTTTATTTTAAAAACCAAATCCAAAATTATATTGATAATATCCTTTAAGGAGAGAGATATGCAGGATATTTATTCTGCCAGCACAGATAATGATTAAAAAATATTATGTGCAAGTTTTGAATTGTTTTGATAAAAAAATAATTCATCGAATAGAGTTTCAGTTTTGGGAAAAAATAATTGATTCTAGCTGTACTACAACGTGCAGCTTCACTCTGGCAAAGATGACTAATATGTAAGAAACATATGGTGAAGATTGCAAACTAAGTTGTCTTATTTATTTCCTGCAGACTATTTCTCCTCCCTATATCAAACTTACATTGAAAGAAAATTCAGATGAGTTTAAAAATGTTCTGAACAGTTCTATGATCAAGTACAAAAAGTGTATAGCTTCTTGAGAGATCACTTTGAATAATATTAAAAGTTTTTTTTTTTCATTTTAATATAATCATTTTTCTTTAAAATCACTTAGTCCCAACATTTAAATTGCCAAACCTTGTATTTATTAATTGTTAATTAATTAATTTTTTAATTAAAACAAAAAATATTATAATCAAGTAAATTTTTAAGTTTTATGTACCATATCCTTAATATTTATTAACTTTTAATGCATAGTTTATTTAGCTTACAGCAGAACTCATTCATTTAAAAGACTACAAATTAAACAACAAAATTTACAATTAAAAATTGCACATTTAAACAAATTTAAAATCTACATAAATGGTTTTACAGTTATTTAACTTAAAATTTTAGGTGTTAAAAAAACTGTAATTAATAAAACAATAATAAAAACAATATGCATTTAAAACTCAAATTAAATACGATTTTATTGGAAATTGCTGCAAATATATTTTTTATTAACCCAGTTATTAGGCTAATTAAATCTGGAAGATAATTTTCAAAAATTCTCTTTATTAAAGAAGACTTGCAAAATCTTCAATCTTGATAGTTAATCATTTTAGGAAGTATAATTGGTATTAATCATATTTTTAGATAAAATTTTAATGTTAATATATAGGCCACATTCTGCCAATTATAAAGTAGTTTTATAATGTATAACATCATTTATTTGTCAAGATTTTAGTTTGGTTAAGAATAAAAATCATTCCTGTAAATTAACTGTAATTGGAATTATACCAATAAAATGTGTAATTTTGATTAGCAAAATTTTCACTTTTTTATGAAATAAGAATATTAATTTTTATAAAAAATAGCAATGTTAGTAAAACAAAAACTGTTAGCTTAGTCCTACACTGACATACATTTCGTACAGTTGACAAATGTCAAATACGTAATATGCAGGAACATCATATGAAAATATTTTGCAGGCACATTATTTTATAATTTTCATAATATGTTTCATGTATTCATTAAATCATTATTTACATTCATAGTAATTTCTTATGTGCTGGGCTTGGACATCCTGTCAGTTTCTATACTTTTTATGCCAAGCTGTCACATTATGTTGTAATACGAAAGCTTGACAATAACATGGGCTTCTGTATAACAGGAGAATAAAATAGCAAATTAAAACTTTAATTTCAACAAAAGCATGAAAACAATATAAATAAATAATAATTCAAAAATCTTACAATCTCATAACTAAACGATTAATTTTAATTCAGTAATTATTATTATTATAAATACTAGCTGCCTTGATTAAGTTTATATCATATTTAGAAAAAATATGATATAGCAATTTAGATATATTACAATGTTAACATTTATAAATACACTAATATCAGATCTTTGATAACCAAACCCCAATAGAACAATCACTGTTAGCACTGACCAGCATTTGTCCAACATTTGCAATCTGTAAATAAAAAATACATTTTTAAATTGCAAAATTCTTGGCACTATATTGTGAAAATAAAAATTCACACTGCATTTTCAGGTAGCCAAATGTTTTATTATAAGCAAAAACATATATAAACATCTCAAAGCCTGATGTTATTAATCAAAGCCAAACAATCACCATAATAAATCAGGCTATTTTTCCACTACTATTCATAATTAAATTTTAAGTAATTTGGTACTAGAGTTAGGCATTAGACACCATTTCTTATTAAATTAATATTTATTAAATAATTTAGAATATTCTGGAAGAAAAGAATCAGCCTGGAGTGGGACTTGAATTGAACCTGCAACTCCTGCTTACTGTGCAGATGCATTGCCAAATACAATACCTGGACCTCCATGTAACTCTACTTCCAGACATATTTAATTATTTTGGATATAATCTTTCATGACTACTCACAGGTGACTAGGGATGACTTCCTTAATTTAATAGTAGCAGAAAAATCTGATTTATTACAGCGACTGGCTCTGATAAGGAAAAATGTCTTTTGGCTATTTTTAAGTCTGCAATGTTCCATTTCAAAAATTTTCTATGTTGGCCTAAAGAGGCTGAAAACATTTTTATGTATAATAAAACATTTGGCTATGTGAAAAAGTAATGTGGATTTCTATTTTTTTTTAAAAATATAAAAGTAACATTAAAATTTTTGTTATAATCATTGATTATTAAACATGCTATGAGTTATTTTTTTTAATACTAACTCCTGCAATTTCTCCTGCAAGTGATAATTTTGTTATAACTTCTGGATCAGCATTAGGTTCTAAAATACTTATAGTCTTATCTGTTGAGCATGTAATTACACTTCCTAATGAATGAGAAATTCCAGTTATTTTACCAACATGTCCAATTTTATATGTCTGAAACAAATAAACAAAATTTTACAAATTTGCTAAATTATAATTTGATAAAAAAAATAATATTTCACTTACTTCTACTAAGTTAAATTTTTCATTTGTAGGATCAATTAGATGAATTACACCTTGTTTATCTCCAACCCATAAATGATCATAACCATAAGAGAGAGACATAGGATAGCCTTGAAACTAAAAATTATTTTTGAACTATTAATTTTATTATTTAAAAATAATATATGATTATGTTATACCAAATTCTTAAAATTGCATGCTAAACATTAATAATACAAACAGAAATTTATTTATCTTATATTAAAAAAAATTTTTCATACATTTAATTTATAAGTCTGCATCATCAATCAAATATACAAAATGAAATCAAGCCATTATATGTTGAAATTTTACATGATGTAAATTTAAAATAAAAATAAAGAAACTTTTGGAAACATTACAACTCTGCTTTTTATTGAAGATTAACTTAAATTTTAAAATATACAATGTAAGTAATGATGAACAAATAAAAAATGTTTGATGCTTATATATTACATTTTATCACCCTCTTAGCTTTTATCTACCAAAATTTAATAGCATCAATGTCCTATGTACAGAAATACTCCTGTCAAGTTTCAAAGTTTTTGGTTTATCCAGTCCTGAGATATAATGTAAAATAAATGCTAACAGACAAAATTCTGTAAGAGTATTTTTACATTTTTGGACTCTTTGAGTCAAAACATTGAGAAATGCAAAAGTCAAAACATCAAAATTTGACCAATCACTGTACTTTTCCTATGTTATATTCTACAACAGCTGAGAAAGTAAAATTTCATTATTTGTAAATACTCCCTCTCAGGGCCAGCGAGACCTTTTGCGGGGCCAGAATACATTCAAATCCTATACTTAAATTTCACAATAAGGAATTATTTATTATAAGTACAAAGGATGTTACATATATTTTTTGTAAGATGAATATTACATAATTTTTCTTGCCACAAAATCTTTGATTACGTCATCAAAATACGTCATCAAAATTGATTGAGTTTGCTATTTCACTTTCTATTGAAAGAATAGACAGAGATGTAAATTGGTCTTGGCTTATTGATGATCAAAGATAATTGTTTTATTAGTTTCAACAAGAAACTACATTCAGCTGAAGCCACGGTTACTGGCATAGTTAACAATATTTGTAATGCAATTAATGCATTTGGGTATGTTTCCAAAAGATTGTTTTTTATAATGTATTTCATCACATCTAGAGCCGAATAATTGGCTTGCGAATAATTCGATCAGAACATCTTAATCTCTTCAAATATTTTAGTTCCATCAATATCTTCTTACAAATGTAAGTGAAGATCTTGAAAACATTTTAATAAATATTTGTCATTTAAATTCAGAATCTCATCTATATATAGAAAGCCAAAAATATTTTGGTGATTTGCATATAATTCAAATCTACTTTTTAATGATACTAACGCAGTATCTATTATTTTAAAAAAGTAATGCATATGGAAGTATTCTTCGTCGCTGATTGTTGATGATTCATCCTTTCCTTCATAATCAAATAATTTCCGTTTTTTGCCCTGTATGATGACTTGAAAACTGGTGCTGTCTATTTCCTTTGCAATTTCATTTGCTGTGATCATAACTTTGCTGAATCCTACATTTCTGTATTCCGCAAAGAATATGTTCAGACCTTTTAGATGCTTTGTTGCCAAATCTACTCGTATTTGCATGTTTTGATTTTGCAATACTTTGCTGACAATATTAATTTTTGATAATATTTCGTACCAAATGATGAGACTGACAATAAATTCAAATTCATTTATCTTTCACACTATAGACAAAATCTCAATTTTTAATTTCTTGTCAGATGTATTGTTGGTAATTTCGTTCAAGGCATTTCGAAATTGGCAAACTTGAAAGCGATGTTTGATGTCAACATTTAATGTCAACATCTGCAACAGGCTGCAATGAAATATTTCAATGCAAAGATGGGAGAGAAAATCTTGCACTCACGTCAGTGTGCAGCAAGTTGTCATTGATTAGTGGATTATGCAATTGCATTTTCCACACACACTCAAATATTCAATCTACTACAGAAGGGGTCCTGCAAAATGTCTGATGAGTTTTCGTACACTGCTAGGCTCGGCTCCTGCAAATGCACTGAACCTGCCTCATGCCAGCCCTGCTCCCTCTTTCTTTACAAAGAAAAACACACACACAGCACAAAGAGCCATCTAACACACTTATAATAAAGTAATAATTAAAATAATTAAAATAAATTAGAGTTATTTTTTGAACTAACTTTTTACTTATTAAAGCATAATTTAATTTATATAACGAACCAACTGGATAAATATACTACGAATGAAACACACCTTTAATAATCCAGCTAATAAAAATTAATAAAGTAAAAACGTTTTCAATCGTTTCTTAACAATCTTCTTCAGTTACCATAACATAGAATATATCAAACACAAAAAAGAACATAAATACGAAATTAAAATATAAATAACGGAAAAGTAGCTGTGCTGATAAAATAAACGAAAAATATAAATTAAGCCAAAAAATGTCCCTTAACAAAAATAAAAATAAATAAAGTCATTAATTCTTGTAAAAGGATCGCCATGCGGTAGGTAAAGAGTCCGCATCCCTATGGTTGATGAAAGTAGTTTTCCTGTGTGCCTTAAAGATCTCTAATTTTTCCAGATATTTCATTGTATGTAAATTTGTTGTAGGTTTAATTATTTCCGCTCGATCCCAATGGACTCGAATGTTGTGTTGTGTTGCGTAAGCCGATAGCATGGTGTTGTCAAGTTTCTTATTAATCGTATATTTATGCTCTTCGATACGTTGCTGCAAGTTGTGCATTGTTGCGCCCACGTAGACAAGATTCAAATTAAAACGCTGATCGTGTAATGGTATAGAATAGATTCCTGATGCCGATTTCCAGTCATAACGCTTCTTATCGTTTCTTAATAGCTTGAAAACTGTAGGATTGTGTCGATATATTACTCAGAAATTATTAGCCTTGGCCGTTTCTTTATGTATTTGTCTCAAAAACGGGACATAATTTAAAATCAGTACAGTAGACCGTAGACAAAGGATGATTTTAAATTATGTTCCATTTTTGAGACAAATACATAAAGAAGCGGCCAAGGCTAATAATTTCCGAGTGATATATCGACGCAATCCTACAGTTTTCAAGCTATTAAGAAACGATAAGAAGCGTTATGACTGGAAATCGGCATCAGGAATCTATTCTATACCATTACACGATCAGCGTTTTAATTTGAATCTTGTCTACGTGGGCGCAACAATGCACAATTTGCAGCAACGTATCGAAGAGCATAAATATACGATTAATAAGAAACTTGACAACACCATGCTATCGGCTTACGCAACACAACACAACATTCGAGTCCATTGGGATCGAGTGGAAATAATTAAACCTACAACAAATTTACATACAATGAAATATCTGGAAAAATTAGAGATCTTTAAGGCACACAGGAAAACTACTTTCATCAACCATAGGGATGCGGACTCTTTACCTACCGCATGGCGATCCTTTTACAAGAATTAATGACTTTATTTATTTTTATTTTTGTTAAGGGACATTTTTTGGCTTAATTTATATTTTTCGTTTATTTTATCAGCACAGCTACTTTTCCGTTATTTATATTTTAATTTCGTATTTATGTTCTTTTTTGTGTTCGATTTATTCTATGTTATGGTAACTGAAGAAGATCGTTAAGAAACGATTGAAAACGTTTTTACTTTATTAATTTTTATTAGCTGGATTATTAAAGGTGTGTTTTATTTGTAGCATAATTTAATAAATACAGAATAATGTTATTCTTATATTTAATATGAATAAATCACTGACGTCTGTGTGCACTGACAAAAAAGTATAGTTCTGGCCTGTGGAAAAATTGCAGCAAATACAAACAGAATACTAAACTTTTTGAGTTTTGATTTTGTTTTCCAAAAATACAGACTGTCTTTTTTGTGTAAAACATAAATTCAAATAACATCTAGTATTGGTGACTTAGAATATTAGAATTAAAATGCGAATGGTAGTATGATCAATAGTAAATTATTCACAGTCATAATAACATATCATTCTCAGCTCCTTCCCTTTTGTGCACTTTTCAAAAGTTAAATATCAATGGATATCTAAAAACTTTCTAATGCAGTGATATGTTTACATTTCTTTGTGAGTTATATACATTGCAACCATTCATACTTTCTGTCAGCTATCAAGTTTATATTTTCGTATAAAAACAGAGAAATTAAAATATTTTCTAAGTTGACTTTCTGTTTACACATTCCTTTTTTCACAAATAGGAATGGTGCTTCATAGTTTGAGCATTTTCATTCTTACTCATTATTTTCCCAAGTCTTATTAATTAGCCAAAATGATCAGTGAGAGCAGTTGGGTTTATCACTGATAACTCAAAAAGATGACTGATCTCACTGATGACTCAAAAAGTTTGTGAAGAGAACTCTGAATTTATGATACAAAATCAATTTATCAATTCATTTTTTGTTTTTAATCTTGATGATTCAGTTTATTGAAGAAGCAACAGAACTCACATTTTATTGGCATCTATACTTATTAAAATTTAATATTGTATGGAAGTATGACTTTTAATTCTAAAATTAAAAGTATGTACATAAAATAACACAAAATTAAATAAAATAAAATTACAAGTATATATATATTTGTGCTTGCATGATTATGGTTCTAAAGCAGTGATTCCAAACTTTTTCAATCTACCACCCCTTTTGTTCCATAAAGTTATACCCAACGCCCCCTAACCTATTTTCTCTTGTGTGAGAAAGAATTGGAAATATTCTTAGGAAAACTTTTCTATGAATCTCATACTTTGTGCCCTTACCGTACATTGTTCTTAACACCTGGAAACCATTAAACACAATGTTTCCTCTTATCAGTTTAATGGAGGAAAGGGAACGTCTTTCAGTGACCCCAATTTTGCATTTGGTCACCATTCAATACCCTGCCTCCAGCACCCCCCCTAGATTTACTCATCGCCCACAAGGGGGCATTATTGCCCACTTTGAGAAACGCTGTTTGTTCTAAAGGGTACATCTGAAATGCACACCTGGCATGACATTGCCGATCCCTGCTTTAAATCATTCCAATAACTTTTTAGAAAATTTTAATTTCAATTTTATAGTTATTCTGGATTTAACTAAATGTTAGATTATTATTATTATGTTGGATTTAGTGGGTTATACTCGGTACACACCAATGGCTGTGTAATATGCCAAACCAGAGTCAAGGCATAGCAACCAAGAACTAAAATTAAATAAGGGTGTCAGTGTCAGTGTTTGTATTCAGGAATTTCCTAAAAATATGGCATGTATTCAATATAGTTGCCTTCTGTAGTGTGATGTATGTATTTGTATTCAATTGTAATGTTCCCAGGCTTTTGTGTAGTGTGTGTGGTATCATACCTGTACAGGAGAGAACAACAGGTACAATAAGCACCCTATTCATCCTCCACAGATGCCTTATTTCCTGGGCGAGTTCTGTGTACTTGCTAATTTTTTCAGTGCATGTGTTTTGTACATTGTGAGTGTTTGGAATGGCTATGTCTATAATGTATGTGATTTTATTGTGTTTGTCAATGAGTGTGATGTCTGGTCTGTTGTGGTAAATTGTTTTATCTGTGAT